GCAAAGGCTTTCAATTGTGTGGATCATGACAAGCTATGGACAACATTGCGAAATATGAGTATTCCGGAACACTTAATTGTTCTCATGAGGAATCTGTACCTGGACCTAGAAGCATTTGTTCGAACATAATATGGGAACACTGAATGATTTAAAATTTAAAAAGATGTGCGACAAGGTTGTATTCTTTCACTATACTTATTCAACCTGTATGCTGAGCAAATAATCCGAGAAGATGGGTTCTTTGAAGAAAAACGTGGCATCAGGATTGGAGGAAGACTCATTAACAACCTGTGATTTGCAGATGATACAACCTTGCATGCTGAAAAAGAAGAGGACTTGAAACATTTACCGATGAAGATCAAAGAGCATGGTTTTCGGTATGGATTACATCTCAATGTAAAGAAAACAAAAATCCTCACCACTGGCCCAATAAAAAACATTTTTTATCAACGGAGAAAAGATTGAAGTTGTCAAGAACTTCATTCTTGGATCAACTATTAACACTAATGGAAGCAGCAGTCAAGAAATCAAACAACATATTGCATTAGTCAAATCTGCTGCAGAAGACCTTTTTAAAGTGTTGAAGAGCAAAGATGTCAGCTTGAGGACCAAGGTGCACCTGGCCCAAGCCATGGTATTTTCAGTAACCTCATATGCATGCGAAAGCTGGACAATGAATAAGGAAGACCATAGAAGAATTGATGCTTTTGAGTTATGGTGTTAGAGGAGAATATTAAAAGTACCGTGGGCTTCCAAAAGAACCAATAGATCTCTGTTTTGGAAGAAGTGCAACCAAAGTGCTCCTTAGAGGCCAAGATGGCCAAACTTCGTCTCTCATACTTAGGACATATTGTCAGGATGGACCGGTTGCTGGAGAAGGATATCATGTTTGTTAAGGTGGATGGTCAGAGAAAAAGATGAAGACCCCCAATGAGGTGGATTGGCCAAGTGGCAGCATCGATGGACTCAGCGTGGCAACAGTAGTGAGGTTGGCCCAGGATTAGGCAGTGTTTCGTTTTGCTGTGCATAAGGTTGCTATGGGTCAGTACAGACTTGATGGCACGTAACAACAACAATGATTTCTGGAAACAAAGAGGACTTAAAATACTTATTGATGAAAATCAGAGACTACAGCCTTTAGTATGGATTGTATCTCAATGTAAAGAAAACTAGAATCTCATAACTGGGCCTACAAATAACACCATGAACAACAGAGACACCACCACTTCTCTGTCAGTTTGTCGTACTGTGGTGACTTATGTGTTACTGGAAGCTATGCCACCAGTATTTTAAACACCAGCAGGGTAACTCATGGTGGACAGGTTTCAGCTGAGCTTCCAATCAACACTCATGAAAACTGCAATCAAGAAATCAAATGGTGTATTGTACTAGGCAAATCTGCTGCACAAGACCTCTTTAAAGTTTCAAGAGCAAAGATATCAATGTGAGGACTAAGGTGCACCTGACCCAAGCCATGGTATTTCATCTTTCACACTTTGGACTTGTTTTCAAGAGGGATCAGTCCCTGGAGAAGGACATCATGCTTGGTAGGATGTCAGTGAAAAAGAGGAAGACCCCAATGAGAGATGGAGTGATACAGTGGTAGCAGTAAAAGATACACGTGTAACAATTGTGAGAATGGCTCAGGACTTGACTGTGTTTCCTTCTCTTGTCCATAGGGTCAGTATGAGTTGGAACTGACTTGAAGGCACCTAACAATGACAACAAATGGAGAAAAGACTGAAGTTGTCAAAGACTTCAGTTTGTTGGATATAAAATCAACACTCTTGGAAGCAACAGTCAAGAAACCAGAGATGTATTGTTTATTGCATTAAACAAATCTGCTGCAAAACACCTCTTTAAAATGTTAATGAGCAAAAAGATTAGTTAGAGGACTAACGTGCACCTGACCCAAGCCAGGATATTTTCAGTCTCCTCTTGTGCATGTGAAAGTTAAACAATGAATAAGTAAAACCATAGAAGAACTGATGCATTTGAGTTATGGTGTTGGAGAAGAATATTAAAGATAGTATGGACTGCCAGAAGAACAAACAAATCTGTCTTGGAAGAAGTAAAACCACAATGCTCCTCATTAGTCAAGATGCAAGACATGAATCTCATACTTCGGACATACTTTTAGGAGGGGCCAATCCCTGGAGAAAGACATTATGTTTGGCAAAGTGGAGGGTCAGCGAAAAAAACCGAAGTCCCTCAATGAGATGGATTGACACAGCGGCAGGAGCAATGGGCAGAAATGTAACAACAATTTTAAGGACAGTGCAGGACAGGACAGTGTTTCCTTCTGTTGTACATAAGTTGTTATGAGTCAGAACCAACAGTAAAAAGTGCAATACCTTTTCATATGTTTTTTGAATTTGATTTTTTTTTTTTCCAGCAAATTGTTTGCTTAAATCTCACACTTTTTTTTTCTTAAACAAATTCTTTTTTTAGGTGGGCTCAATGACTGTTAGCATCTCAGTGAAGAACAAATCAGCCCGAAGATGTGGTAACCTGGGCAGGTCTAAGTTCGGGTTTAAACCGTTTGTTGCCTCACTTGTGGCAGAAAACCACTTGTTATCCCAACCCCAGGTACTTTAACTTTAGCTGGGGTTTCAGACTAGGCAAATAGTCCTGGCTGTTTTTCTCTTCGCGGATGACCATGAAAACAGAGACAGATCCCCGGAGACTTTCCCAGCGACTCAGAAGACCTAAACAAACGCATGCCCAAAGTGCGTCTGGCTCAACCGCCTATTTCAAACTTCCAAGCCCAGCCCTCGTGGGTTTGCCCTTCCCTTTATTCTATTGGTCACAAACCAAAAAAAAAAAGGGTAATTTGATTGGTTTTTCCTTTCACTTCCTCCTGTACTTTTAAGAACTTGGGGGTGGGGTATGGCTGTCTATCATAGGTTCAGCCCTCTGATTGGTCCACACGCGGAAAGGCCTCGCCCACACCGTTCCGGGATTCAAACGCGGCGGCGGGAGGCGCGGGGCCGAGCAGTGCGCGGACTCTTTGGGTTCGCTGAGCGTGAGTGTTATCTCATCTTTCCTTAGGTTGCGAGGCTGTCTCGCACCCACCAGTCCAGACCTTACGGCCATATTACACTCCTAGGACTGCCGGGAGGCGCGTGCCCACCGTCCCTGTTAGCCGAGACTCAGGCCGGGTGGTGTCTGAACTGGGTGGGGTTGTATGTGTCCTCTGCTTCCTGTCAGCGTTACCTGCTTTCGCTCTGGTGGAGTCCACAGCCCCTTATCTGTGTGACTTGGGGGAGTCCTGGAGTGTTGCTATTGGATCAGCACCATAAGGTCGGCGATTCAAACCCACCAGCTGCTCCTATGAGTAGGAACTGACTCGATAGCATTTTACAACCTTTACCCCTGTGTACTTCACTGCCTGGACACCTCGATGCTCGCCTCATCTCTGTGTCCTTAGTTCCCCTGTTATTGTTAGGACCTCTCTGTCTCGCCTGCCAGGGGTGCAAGGTTTGCTGTTCACCTCCTTCAGATCTTCGCTCCATTATTACCTTCTCAGTCTGACGACACTTAGAAGTTGTACCTTCTTCTCATGCCCTTACCTTGCTCTATTTTATTTTATTTTTACATCACAGCACTTACTGCCTTCCAACATAGCATGTAAATTGGTTATTTCAGTCATTCATTCAATTTGTTTATTATTGTTGTTTAGTGCCGTCGATTCGATTACGACCCATAGCGACCCTGTGTAGGGTTACCAAGGAGCAGCTGCTGAGTTTGAACCAACGACCTTGCGGTTCAAACGGCTTTGCAGTCTGGCGCATTAACCCACAGCGCCACACCAGGACTCAATTTGTTTATTAGTACTTACTAAGTGTTACGCTGTGTGTGGCTTCCCTGCCCATGGAACGGAGGCAGATGGTAAGGTGGTTTTGTTACAGTGAGTTAAACTCCTTTTTTAGCCAACATCCCCAGACTGAGCCTCCTGAGCTTTGGGCAGTGTCCGATTTTCAACACCTTGCCCTTGAATTCTTGTCAGGGAGTAGGGTTCCTCAAGCCCTTCCTTCCTGATTCAAACAGCTGGTGCCTTTGAGATTGTCACCGACCGCCTGCTTTTCCCCATCTCTCTTCAACACCAGTGTGGAGATGCTGAAATTCAAGTATGGATCGCGGAGTCAGCTGGACGCTGGTGCTGCTGAGCCCATTACCAGCCGGGCCTCTAGGCTGAATCTCTTCTTCCAGGTAATCACACTGCCACCTCTGCTCACCTGTGTTCGTTTCCTGAGCAGTTCTTGCCACTTGCCTTTGCTTGAGGCTAGTATTCTAGGAGAAGGAAAAAAAAGTTCTAGGAGAAGTCCTATTTGGTGTTTCCTGTATGATCTTACTTCTTTTTCCTTTTAGATTTTTAAAAACAAAGATATGATCATTGCACACACCTGTGCCACCCACATCTCTCTCAAGATACAGAACACTTCTATCACTTGGAAAGTTTCATTCGAATTTTAAAACTTAAGGCCATAGGACTATTTCCAAGTAGGCTTCTAGTTAATCTGCTTCTAGTATAGCTGGAACGCTGTTGAAGTTAAATTCTTTTTTTAAAGTATACATTCACAAGTTAGGGGAAAGTATACATAGCGGTCTCAGTAATGGAATCCTAGGGAGCAATTCTGTACGCTACCCTATAGGACCGCTGTGGGTTAGAATCAGATTGGTGGCATTGGACTTGGTTTGGGTTTATTGTTAATACTAAGTCGATCTGGTCTGGTGCTGTGAAATGATGCACTGGAATGAAAAGTAGGTTTGAACCACAAGGTTGGCAGTTCAGATTCAGTAGCTCCCATACAGGGTTGCTCTGAGTTGGAACTGACTCGAGGACACTTAGCAACAACAAGTAAAAATACAGTATTGTTGTCAAGTACCAATGAGTTGGTTCTGACTCAGCAACCCTGTATAGGTTTTCCAAGGAGCAGCTGCTGGCTTTGAATAACCAACCTTGTTGTTCGCAATCCAGTGCTGATCCAATAGCCCCACACCAGGAATTCAGAAATAGTATTAGTTACAGTGATAATAAAGTTCTGTTTAATTAATGCTTTTTATTTGTATGTTAAATGCTGTCCAGTTGATTCTGACTCATAGCGACCCTGGATGGGATTTCTGAGGAGTGGCTGTCGGGGTCTGAGCCTCAGACCTTGCAGTTAGCAATCCAGTGTTTATCCTACAGTGCCACACCGGAACTTCATATACTTAGTATTAACTATATTTAGGAAAGTATTTGTGGCACTGTAGAATAAGCACTGGACTGTTAACCACAAGGTTGGTGGTTCAAACCCACTAGCAGCTCCTCAAAAACTCTATACAGGGTCAGTATGAGTCAGAACCAGTGTGACAGCACATAACAACAACAACCTATAAATAATAATACATTTTTGACAAGCTGTTTTTCAAAATACTGTTATTGGGGAATATTCAAGTAGATTGTAGTGGGATCAGGTTGAAAAGCTTTGGTTGTTCTCTGGGGACCATTTCTATCAGAGGTCCTCATGACACATTCTTCAGTCTGTGTCTGATCTTAGCTGCCTGGAGTCACCTTTCGACCCTTTTGCCATTTCCCTCAAAAAAGACTCCATTTTATTACAAAACAGTTGCTCATTGCTACCATTTGTCATGTGAGTATACGGGCAGACCTTGCAGGCACTGTGGATTCAGTTCCAAACTGCTTCAGTGAAGCGAATGCCACAATAAAGTGTGCAGCACAGACTTTGGTTTCCCAGTGCTTGTGAAAGTTATGTTTATGCTATGCTGTAGTTTGTTAGATTTAGGGAAAAATCGGAAAAATTATGAGAATTAGAATGTGACACAGAAATATTAAATGAGCACAGGCTGTTAGTCAAACGGCACTGATAACGCCTGCTTGGCACAGGGTTGCCACAAACTTTCCCTTGGTCAAAAATGTAGTAGCTGCAAAGTGAAGCACAATGAAACAAGGTGCGTCTGCGGTATGCAGAGTAAGTAATAGTCACTGAAGGCTGCCATTGCCCAGGAGTAAACACAGACATACTCCTCTGGGTCATCTTGATTCAGCGTCATAACAAGGTAGGGATGCACTATTCTCATTTACTCTTTAAATAGGAGTCTGAGGTATAGAGCCAGGCAAGCCTGGGTCTGCAACCCCGGGACCACACTGTCAGCGTATGTCAGTGTTTATTAAGTGTGTCTTCTAATCACTTGTCATTACAGCCACAGTGATTGGGGAAAAATCCACAATTCTTTTTTATTTTGGGTTCTTTGCGTCCTTTCTTAACCTTCTTTCTAGATAATCTGTCTGTTGTTGAAAGTTTGTATACTGAAGTGTCTTGTTAGTATTGCAAAAAAAGTGTCTAATTTTTCCTTCAGCTCTCTTGTTGTTGTTAAGTGCCATCAAGTTGTTTCCGACTCATAGCGACCCTGTATAGGGTTTCCAAGGAACAGCTGGTGAGCTTGAACCACAGACCTTGCAGTTCAAATGACTTTACAGTCTGATGCATTAGCCCGCAGCAACACACCAGGACTCCATAGACCTTGCTTTATGCACTTCGAGGCTGTCCTGTCTCTATGGAGTCCTGGTGTGGTGCTGTAGGATAAGCCCTCAACCTCAAGGTCAGTGTGGTTCAAACTTACCAGCCACTCCTTGGAAATCCTATGCAGGGTCTCTGAGTCAGAACTGACTCGACAGCACTTTACAACAACAAAAACAATTACTGTCCCTGTGAGTCAGAACTGATTCTACGGCACTTTAACAGGGTGTGCCATGGTGTCAGTTCTGATGCTTAGTGACCCTGTATAAGGTTTTTGAAGCTGCAAATCTTTATGGGAGCAGAAAGCCTCATCTTTGCTTCTGTGGAGTGGCTGGTAGTAGCTCTGTAACCCACTATGTTACCAGGGCTCCTACTATTAGGTATTTAGACATTTTTGATTGTTATATACTCATAGCTTGACCCGATTCTTACCAACTCTGTGTAGGAAGGATTTCTGAGAGTGGCTGGTGGGTTCGAACTGTCGATCTTGCAGTCAATTCTGCCCCTTGAAAGATTGGGTTTCTACGCATTGTGTATGCTGCCTTGTTGCCATCAGCTTCTGGTGGGGGTCCGTCAGTGCTTCTCCACATGGTCTCACTCCATGAGCTTTTCCATCACACAGTAGTCAAGCGCACGGTTGTAAAGTTTTTCTATAAATAGTAAATATTGTAGACTCTCTGGACCATATGGTCTCTGTTGCAGCTACTCAGCTCTGCCATGGTAGCGTCAGGTTAGCTGGAGGTAACATGTAAGTGAATGAGTGTGGGTGGCTGTATTCTAATAAAACTTCTTTTATGAAAACAGGTGCTGGGCCTGAAATGGGCCACGGGTTGGCTATAGTTTGCTGACCTTTGCTGTAACCCAAGCTTCTGTATATGGTATCTGGTCTCCCAAAAGAGCAAAGCAGAAGCTGCCCAATTTCTTAAGGGTTTCATCCTGAACTGGCGTATTGTTACTTGCGTCACATTCTGTTGGTTGGAGTGAGTCACAAGGACATGTAGATTCAAGGGAAAGGGACATAGGCCAGTTTTGGATGAAAGGAATGACATATGCGTACAAGGGATTGAAGAATAGTTTGTGGCTGTCTATGCACACAGGCCTTAGGAACCATTGCCCTATGCCACGGGTTGCAAACTCTTGTCTTTGAAGACTAGGCAGTGATTATGTTGTTGTTAAATGCCAGCGAGTCAGTTCTGACTTATAGTGACCCTGGATAGGGTTTCCGAGGAGCAGCTGGTGGGTTTGAACTGCTGACCTTGTGGTTTGCAGTTCAGTACTGCTGCTACAGCAACATACTAACTGAGTCAGAGGGGCCAGATGGAAGACTGGGAGTCAGATTTATGATGACGTGCAGAACACACTTGCTACCTAGAGGGGGCAGTGTTGCTTGCTGTGTAGGGGCCATTGAGTAGAACTGCCCTGTAGAGTTCTCTAGGCTGTAGCCTTTACTGGAGCAGATCACCAGCACTTCCTCTCCCATGGGTTTGAACTTCGAAGTTGGCAGCGAGCAGTGAACGGTTGCATCACTAGGTTCCAGGCAGGGATATGAACCCAATGTTGTCTAATCCTCCAATTTTTCAAGAAAAGCCAGAAATCCCATTTTTATATGAAATCTCCTGATTTTTAAATCTTGACAAAGAATTCAAATTATAGATAGTTCCCGCCTTGCAATGGGGTTCTATTTGGACAACGCTGTCGTAAGTCATTTCTGAAGTAAATGGAGTACTTTGTTTTTCTTTCGGTTTTCATTATTATTGTCTCTTATTATCTGTACCTTTATAAATTGAATCTTTGAGCATCTGTAAGTAAATGTCTTAGAGTGACAACATTAGTAAATTACATGCTGCAACACTGTATGTAGTAGATATTATTAGTGATGTACAAAAAATTCTTAAATGGATGATTGTTAGAAAAGACCAGGCTTACTGGTCAGAAAGAGTCTGGTAAAACCCTGAGACTATGACTCTTGGTTACCCTTCCGGTCTGGAGCTGCACTCAATTCTTTAGCTCAGTTTTCCACCAAGCTGTAGATAGGTATATAGGGGTACAGCACTAGTGAGGCTGCAGGTACATTATTCACATCATGGAATGGTCAAAAGGGCAGCATGGACTCAAGGACAAAGTTCCAAAGTATGGGGAAAGAAGGAGGAATGGAAACAAGAAAGACAGGGAGGAGATGGGATACAGTGAGGGGAACACAATCAAGATGAAACAAAGTGTATGATTTGCTGAATGTAAAGCTGATGATCTGCTTGGTAAATATTCACTCACTTCATAGTTTAAAAATCCACACACACAAAAACACGTGGTTGCAAGAACACCCACACTTGCAGATAATACCCACTTGACCTGGCTTCAATGGTTGGATGATCAGAATTCAACTAGAAGAAAAGAGGAAAAGAAGAATAAGCTGATACAATTTGATGAACTTGACCTACACCTATGGATGCAGTAGCTCATAAGAAGGAACAGATCTTTACAGTGAAGATCTTTCCCACCCCCTCCATACACAGGGTAGACAGGGATGGGCAACTTGGACATTAACTACCCAAAATGGGAGGCTACAAAGGCAAGAAGTGATTGGCTTATAAGCTTTCAAGAAAGAGCCTAGATCCTGCGGGTGCGGAGGAAGGTAGAATCTCCACTGAGTAGTATCCAGTCTGTCTGGGTGGGGCTGATGAAAGGATATGTGGGGATGGCACTCGTGGCACAATAGTGAATAATTGTTATCAGGACTGACTGTGAGGGTTGGAAATGTAAAGGTAGACATTTTGTAGCAAAAGGAGGGGAGTGATTGACTTTGCAGTCCAGGAGCAGAGGTCCCTGGGACCAACAAGGGAGAAGAGAGGAATGTGGGACCCTACCCAGAGAAGCAGCGATGCCAGAGATGAAGGCAGAGACAATGACGTGGAAAGATTGAGCGGCTGGGGACTCTAGACCCAGAGAGTGAGAGGGGCTGTGTGCTAACGACCAGGGGGCAGGCTTGCAGGGTATACCCTTTGGTTGGTTGATGATGCATGGAGGGGATTGTAACCATGGCGATGAAACGATATATACAATAGGATGAATGTAAGCCTAATGTTCTCCCATGTAAACTATCATATAATTCACAATAAAACATTTAAAATGACAACAACAAAACAGGTGGTTGTTAAGTGTGGTTCTCATAACTGGAACATGTAGGTTGGGGAACTACCTGTCTTGTAGATGCTGCTGGCCGAACCAAACATGGCTGTGGACAGGTGCCAGCTTGCCAGTTTGTAACTGTTCTAGATCCTGAGTGGGTTCTGCTTTATGATAATTGCTACATTTACACTGCTCTAGATTATTTGAATGAATTAAAGGAACTGACATTTCATTAGCAAACTTCTGGGCACATATGAAAGATGTGACAGTTGTTTCCTGGCATGGACACATGAAAGTATGTCATATGCAGCAGAGTCCAGAGTGACTGTTCCCACGAGCCTCCACCTTTTCTTATTAATGGCATGGTTTTGGCGGGTTTCATCCCCAAATGTTGGTGAGAGAAATTCATAGTAATGAAGTCATACTAATGACAACTTCGTGACTGTCATTTGGTGTTGCTTTAAAGATTGAAGCCACAGAATTGTGCTGTTGGCGTGTGTTGTGAGCCGCTACTCGAGCTGGTCTCCTGTAATTTCCTCTCTGTGGATGTTATTGATCAAAGCTTTTCATTATTGACAGTGTCTCCATCTGCTGTTTGCCGTTTTTAGGGGAAACCACCCTTTGTGAGTCAACAGCAGCTGTCTTCTCTTTCCCGGGAAGGGGTGTTAGATGCCCTCTTTGTTCTCTTTGAAGAATGCAACCAGCCTGCTCTGATGAAGATGAAGCATGTGAGCACCTTTGTCCGGAAGTGTAAGTTTAGAACACTGTTTATTGAAATCTACTGCTAGAGAAATCTAGAAAGATGCTGAAGGCAGAATGAATTAGTAGGTGGTGGTGGTGGTGGTATGACACCGAGATGGTTCCGACTCGCAGCAACCCTGTGTGCGTATAGGGTGTTTGAAGCTCTAAACCTTTACGGGAGTAGAAAGTTTCATCTTTTTCCCACGGAGTGGCTGGTAGATTGCATCTACTGACCTTGCACTAAGCTACCCAATTCATAGTCTAGTATGCTGAGAACCCCGACAGACCCAGGTGACTTTCAGGCTCCACCTGTTGTAGTTGGGAGACTGGGTCAGTTGGGGATCAAGCAAACTCAAACTAAAACCCAATGAGAAACCATTTGTCATTGTCTCAGTTCTGACTCCTAGTGGTCCCATAGGACAGAGTAGAACTGCCCCATAGGGCTTCCAAGGCTGTTATCTTTATGGAGAACGATCCCTGGTCACACAGTGGGTTGAGCATTGAGCTGCTAACCACAAGGTCGACGGTTTGAACCCACCAGCTGCTCTGAGGAAGAAGGAAGAGGCTGTCTGCTCCTATAAAGATTTACAGTCTCTGAAACCCTAAGTAGCAGTTTTACCCTTTCCTGTATAGGGTTGCTACGGAGTCCTGGTGTGGCCCTGTTGTATAAACACTGGAATACTAACCACAAGGTTGGCAGTTCAAACCCACCAACCCTATACAGGGTCACAATGAGTTGGAACCAAATTGACAACACTTAACAGTCAGGTTGCTATGCGTTAGAATCAACTCCATAGCAGTGGGTTTAGGTGGTTTTTTTTTTAAATCTTTGTGAAAGCAGATTGCCACCTTTTTGTCAGGTGAAATGGCTGGTGGCTCAGACTGCTGACCTTTGTGAGCAGCCCAGCATTTAACAATTGCCCCCACAGGACTCCTTACCTCAAACAGGCTTAGACAAAAAAAGTGATTTATTGATTCCGGAAATGGAGAAATTCATGATGGATCAGGCTTCAGACATAGTTGTTTACCTGGGTTTAAATGATGTTGTCCTTAGTCCTAATCCATACCCAGGACATAGTAGGCACAGTGCCTATTGTTGTTAGTGGCATCGAATTAGTTCTGGCAAGCCACACTATGTACAACAGAACAAAACGCTGCCCGATCCTGAGCCAGCCTCACAACTGTTGTGTTTGAGCCCATTGTTGCTGCCACTTTGTCAGTCCATCTCCTTGGCTACCTTCCTCTTTCTTACCGACCCCCCACCTTACCAAGCATGAAGCTCTTCTCCAGGGACTGGTCCCTCCTGACAACATGTACAAAGAATGAGAGGCAAAGACTCACCATCCTTGCCTCCAAGGAACATTCTGGCTGTACTTCTTCCGAGGCAGATTTGTATGTTCTTTTTGCAGTTCATGATACTTTCGATACTCTTTTCCAACATCATAATTCAAAGGTATCAGTTCTAGAGTCTTCCTTATTAACGATGCATATGAGGCTGTTGAAAATACCATAGGTTGGGTCAGGTGCGCCTTAGTCTTCAAACTGATATCTTTGTTCTTGGACACTTTAAAGAGGTCTTGTGCAGCAGATTTGCCTAATGCAATATGTCTTTTGATTTATTTACTATTGCTTCCATGAGTGCTTGTGGATCCAATTACAGTGAAGTCTGACAACTTCAATCTCTTCCCCATTTATCATGATGTTATTTATTGGTCCAGTGGTGAGGACTTTTGTTTTCTTTACATTGAGGTGCAATCCGTAGTGAATGCTGGAGTCTTTGATCTTTGTTAGTAAGTATTTCAATTCCTCTTTGATTCTAGTAAGCACAGTTGTATCATATGAGGTTGTTAATGAGCCTTCCTCCAGTCCTGATTCCATGTTCTTCTTCAGGTAATCCAGCTTCTTGGATTACTTACTCACCATACAGATTGAATAAGTATGGTGAAATAATTCAGCCCTGGAGCACACCTATCATAGTTAAAACCATTCAGTATCCCTTTGTTCTGTTCCAGTGACTGCCTCTTGCCTTATATACAGGTTCCTTATGAGCACAGTTAAGTGTTTTGGAATACCCATTTTCCCCAATGTTAGCATTTTTCAATTATATGAAAAAACAAAATTGAAATGTATTTGACATGGCAATATGTGTATATATATACCTAAATATAGGATTTAAAGGATTTAAAGAAGCTCTAGTAACGTAGAGGTTACCAATCGGGCTGCGAACCTTAAGGTCAGAGGTTCGAAACTACCAGCTGCTCCGCAGGAGAAAGATGAGGCTTTCTACTCCCATAAAGATTTACACCCTCGGAAACCCTATACAGGGTCGCTATGGGTCGGAACCGACTCGACGGCACTTAACAACAACAAATAGGATTAAAAAAAAATATTTAAGTTGTGCTGGATGTAATAAGCTATCTTATTATTGTCTGATTCAAAATGATCAATAGCAGTCCATTTCAGCTCAGTAATGCCTAGGATATTGATCGTTATTCATTCTTGACAACTTCCAATTTTCCTAGCGTCTCGCTTTGTACATTCCATTTTCCAGTTGTTAGTGGATGTTTGTAGCTGTCTCTTCTCATATGGAGATGTATTCCATCAGCAAATGAAGGTCCTGAAATCATCAGTCAGCCCAAGTTGTTAAGGTCAGCTTTACTTGGAGGATGCAGCTCTTCCCCTGTCACATTTTCAGTGCCTTCCAACCTGAGGGGCTCATCTTCCAGTACTGTATCAGGCAGTGTTCCAGTGATATTCACCAAGTTTTCACTGGTTAATTCTTCAGAAGTGGTCTGCCTCTCCTTTTTCCTAGTCCGAATCTGGCAGTTCTGCTGAGACCAGTTTAGTATGGGTGACCCTGATGGTTTTAAAAATACTGGTCACATAGTTTCCAGCATCATGGCAACACACAAACCGCTACAGTTCGACAAATGGACAGACAAGTAATGGGACACAGTGTTGAGGACCCATGATACTATTTTAATGAAATTAATTTTAAAATAAGAATAAGTTAATATGATAATCTACTCAGCAATATAGTTGCAAACTATACTTCTTGGTATTGTTTTTTTGAATAGATAGGGTCCATGAAGGTAGAAGTGCCCAGGCTGTATGCATGTCGTATTGCAGCCCTGACTTCACTCTCTTATAGACATTGCTGGACAGGTAGGGAAGTTGGCTGCTGGTACCCTAACTTCATAATCTTTTATCTTACTCCAGTGGTTTTCAAAAGGGGGGTGATTTTACTCAGTAAGGTCATCTGATTGTTACAGTTTCATGGAGTGGTACTGCTAGAATAGTGGCTGGAGACTAGATATGCTCCTAAACATTCTGCGATACACAGGACAAGCGTTATCTGGCTCAAAATGTCAGTAACGTTGAGACTGCAAAACCCTGTCCTATGCAATCTTGCATTTAACCAATCACTCTAAAACTGAGTGGCTCAAAACAGTAATCGTTGTGTGACCTCTCATGATTCTGCAGACTGACTGGGCTCAGTGGGTGGCTCCCACTCCATGTGATGTTGACAAGATTGCAGTCATCTGAGGGCCCCCTGGTGTGGAATATGTACAATGATGGCTCACTTGCTGCAGGTCTGACACCTTGAATGGAAGTCTGAACTTGATTGGGAAGGGACTCCAGGATAGCTGGCCTTTCTCCAGGAAATCTCAGCGTCTCTTGCTCTCCATATGGCTTCTCTATGTGTTTCTATACATCAGGGGTCAGGAAACAGCAGCCTGGGGTGTCTGTCTTATAAATAGTGTTTTAGTGGAATACGGTCACATGCCTTTGTTTACATACTTTCTGTGATTGTTTTGGGACTGTGATGGCAGTCTTGAGTAGTTGCAACAGAGGCCAGCAAAGACGGAAATATCTGCATTCTAGCCCATACAGGAAAACAAGTGTGCTGACCCTGACCGATGTGATCTTTTAGCAGGGTAGTCTAACCACTGATCTATGTGGTCTGTTTTTGCAGGGTAGTTTGCAAAGCACAGGAGTAGCAGTTGCTAAGCCTTGATAAGGCTTAAGCCTAGAAGAGACACTGGATTTCTTTGGCTGGATTCTGTTGTGTGAAGTGAGTCATAGGGCCAACCCACATTCTTTGCGGTAGGAATTCTATAAGGGCATGGATTCTGGGAGGCATAGGTCCTTGGACACCATCTTTTGAGATCGCTTATTACATCCACAGGGTCGCTGTGGGTCGGAACCGACTCGACGGCACTTAACAACAACAACATTACATCAAGCACAACTTAAAACAATTTTTAAAAATCCTGTATTTATTTACATATTTGTATTGCCATGACAAATACATTGTGATTTTTTTCTTTCATTAATTGAAAAATTAATTTGTTTTTGCTCTTGTTGAGAGTACACACAACAGGCCATACACCAATTCGACCATTTCTACACGCACAGTTGAGTGACATTGATTATGTTCTCAGAGATGGGTACCCATTCTCATCTTTTCTGAATTCGTTCTCCTCTGTTAAATAGGCTCACTGCCCACTATGTTTGCTATCAAATCATTCGTTATTATTGTCAGTTTGAGCCAATGTAGATAGATCGTAAAAGAGCATGGTGATCAAGACAGACATCCTTTTCTAGTTTAAACTGTTGTTTGATTTCAGAAGACTTAAGGGGCTATTTTTGGTTTAAGGTTTAAAGATTATCTCAGGGCAGTAGTTTCAAGGATTCACCTAACCACCATGGCTTGAGAAAATCCTGTAAAAAATGTCGATACCCCGAATACTGTCTTGGTTCCTCTTGGTAACTGGTGGGTCTGTATAAACCTTGATGGGGCTCTGGAGGGAGAACTAGGGCAGACCTCCTTAACCCTAGTGAGGTCATTGATGAGTTATCACAAGTGTTTACCCATGAATGCTCAAGAAATCCAATCTATTTATTTTATTGAGAGTAAGGCTTTATTAGTCAATTTTGCAAAATAGGGCTCGAAGCCCAGAAGACAAGATGGGCAGACGTGCCATAAGGCTGTTTTACAAGTGTTT